CTTGGTCTACAAAACTTTAAGTCTAATACCATATGCCCGAAATACCACTGGCCAGAAAATGGTCCTTCTCTTCTCTTTCTTTATTTAATTTTTTTTTAGTTTTTATTTATTGAATATAAAAAAAAATATAAAAAAAAAATTAAAAAAAAAATTTGTAAATATTTTTTTAAAATTTTACTTATATATTTATTTGTTTTAAACTGTAAGATCGACACGTTAAAACGCGTGTACAGTTTCCTGATCAATGACTGTAATTTATTATAAATTGTTTTATTAGTTCTGAATATTTCAGCTTCCTAGAGCAGTACTAATCTGAGAAACTTAATTTCCTTTGAATTTCACAGACTGCATACTTCTTTGAAATCTTTTCCAGCTCTTTAGACTCTAACCTTTATTTCTCTATATTCTCACACCCCCCCCCTCACTTAACCCTCCCCTTCCTATGCCCACCTGCCCCAGTGTCGTGAACCCACGTGGGTAAATACACTTATATGGTGAGTCTGTGGGTTTGAACTAGGGCTGTACCGAATAGTGTTTTTTCCCTATTCGGCCGAATACGAATAGTGGGTCCAACTATTCGGCCGAATACGATACGAATAGTGTATTATCATCATCAGTTGCCTTGCCGACTGGTGTTGGCGATTTTACCTCGCCGCAATCTGCGATCTCCTGCAGCATGTATCAGTTCGTGCGCTGACACACCTCCATGCCATGCAACGAGACTGTCAAGAATCTTCTCTCGTTGTCTTCCTCTATTCCTCCTTCCACAGATCTTTCCAGTGGTCACCACATGTTCCATTTTCCCTTTTCTCATAACATGGCCGAAAAATGATGACTGTCTCCTTCTGATGTCTGTGTTTAGTTGTCTTTCAAAACCTCTTGGTTGCTTTTTTTGTGTGTGTGTGGCTGTCCACGCTTTTTTAACCATTATTCTCATAAACAACATCTCAAAGGCCTCAATAAATTGTTTGGCCTGCCCATCGATTGTCCAGGACTCACAACCCATTGCCTTTGAATATAAGTGCGTACTTGACGAGGCTGACAGTTACTATTCTACAGACCACATTTTCCACTTTTAAATTTCAGCCAAAATATAATCACAACCTTACTTATTCGCTGCAACTTCACGAATACAGATGGAGGATCGGTCGAGATAAATACAAAGACAATTTTTAGCACGCTGCGGTTGGTATTTTATGCTGTATGACACACTTTGAATGTGAAACAGGAAGGGGGGGGGGGGAACTCTTTTCGACAGTGGCGAGGAAAGACAGTTTAAATTTTATCTTTTTAGTATTTTCATGCCTTCTTTAATAATGTCACAATTTATAGCCGTCTTTTCATGATTTTCGCTGCTGCACCTCTGGCATACGCACCCAGTTTGAGAACCTCTGCTGTAATGCTTTAGTCGAGTCAGCGGGAAAAGACCTTGCCACGCAACTTGGTCGCAGTTCCCCCCGCTACAACATACTTAGGCAACAGCAACTTTTGTATTAATGAGAAAGTTATTTCAGTTCATCGCAGTGTATGCAGAAACGGGGGTAAGGTAACCACTATTCGTATTCGGTCCAACCGCAAGTATTCGGCCGAATACCGAATAGTTATTAGGTCCACTATTCGGCCCGAAGCGAATACAGCTAACACGTTTAGCCGACTATGTCTATACTGGCGATCTGACCTGCACTCAATTTGAGTAACCTCAGGGGGAGATAATCACAATTAGCCTGAGTTATCTGCTCCTAAAGGTCTGGCTAGGAACAAATTATCTGACACCTCAGTTCTGCAAGCAATATCTTCAGCCACTAAGTCTGAGTTTGGTCAGTCTTATCTCTGTACCTCAACACTTTACTTCTGGGAACAAGTTTCAGTGTTTGATATCACCAACAGTCCAGGAGAATTAAATGTTTGTTCGGGTCGCCCTACTTAGATTTAGGATATATCCTAAACCATATTTTTCTGTATACTTTAATATACATAGGAAAAATGTAGGTTGAGGAAAGACATATTCTGAAGTCACCGAGCGTGTCGTCACATCCAGTCACCCCCATCTTTGTCTACACTGCTAACCTTCTTCCTCTTCTTTTATTTTGTTAAGGTTGTTATGGTTCTGCAAAGGACATGCTGCTGACTGACTAGCTAGCCAATATCAAATAATATCTTATTCTTTTTTTTTCTTTTTTTTTTTTTTGCAGCCAATAAGACAGACTGTGTAAACGGGCAGGTAGTTACGTCATCGAAAGGTCGAGAAGCAGCCTTCGACATCTGTGCCTCCTACTACGAAACATCAGTCCGTTCAGATCCTGACAGCATTAAGTTTGTATTCCACGATGTGATTCGACAAGTGCGTTCAGTGCGCATGCATGCCCGCTCCCAGGAACAGCCCTGCACAAAGATGCGTGGGCTGATACATCGGCTAAGCTGGAAGTCAAAGAAAAAACAGTCCAAATCTAGGTTACGTCAAAAGTTAAACTCTCCAGAGGAAATAAAGAAAGAATTATAATGAACGTTGTGGTTACCCTACATTTTTGTCATTGGTGAACAAATATACATGCGTATGAGAAAAAAAGTAACGTGGGGCTGATTGGTACTTATAGAATATGTACGGGGGGAAAATTTAGAGCTAGACATTTTATTCTAAAACAATGAATGTTTTACGATGTCGACTTGATCAACAGTCCATCGAGAAGGGAGCACATCCCGCCATCTTGGCCCAAACTCCAAATGGATAAGCCAAGGATATCCCCCCCCCCCCACCCACATCAAACCTTCATACGGAAACGGAAGGGGAAACGTTCATGGGGAACCAAGACTGAGCCTGTGTGTAACCATCGTCAGGGAAGGCTCAACTGTGTGTCTAATGAACATCCAAGATCTCAAACAGGTGGCAACGAACCACCAGACATGCAGAGATATTACCTCTGCCTTATGCGCTGCCTTAGCCTCGAGATGAAAGACTAAATAACTAATTAGCGGTGCAAAGAACTGAAATAAAAATTAGCTGGACAATAAAGATCTTACAATCAAGGTCTCTACAATACTGCATTGAAAAACAAAGAAGGGAATGTAAATAGAGGAGAAAGTGACTGCTTATTTAGTTCAGAGCTGAGCTACTTGAGAGAAGCACGTTAAATACACACAGTGGCGAGGATGGTCCAGAAATCTAATGCTTTCATTGTAGAAGACATTTCCTAACTCGAGCGGGCCTTGATAAACACACTCACAATCAACACGTGTTGTGATTCCAATGTCTTCCTATAGCAGAATGTAACACTTTTATCAGGAAAGAAGAAAAGGTACCAACAAAATAAATATTTAAAGCCATACGATATCTATCAATGACACTTCTCTAACTGCATAAAATTATTTTACCGGACAAATTGCGATAGCACTATAATTTATGCACAACAATCATTTATATATATATATAGATTAAAAACACAGTCCGTAGCGATAGCACTAGCCATTAGGCTTTATAAATATTTATGCTCAATGACTCAGCTGACTAAACGGCAAAAGTGGTGCATGCAGGCATTGATGACAATTTTAATTACGGACTCGATGAATAATGTGAAGAAGACATTCTACATTCTTTGGTCATATGAGGAGAAGAAAACAAGTGCATCGCGAGAGTGGGAAAATTAGAGCGTTCTGAAGGTGGTTGGTTCGTTTGACGGCCGGACCGTTCAGTTCAGCAGTGCAACTGTTACAGAGATCCCTGCGGATGGAGACCGAGATTTATGAGATAAAACCCGGTGCAATCTTTATGATGCTCTCGACTTTAACCTTTAAACATTTTTACTCGCTAATTTAAATATACATTTGACTCGTTTTAAAACAATGAAGTCACAGACAATATTTTGCACCACGTAATGCCTGGCATTTTGGCTCTGTGTTGTCAGTTGAATTACTGTTTACGTTACATGAACTTACACAGAAGCATGCAACATGAATCCCTTCACATGAAGTGCATAAATCACATTGTCTTTTGGTATACTGTACATCTTATTCATCGAGAGAGAGAGAGAGAGAGAGAGAGAGAGAGAGAGAGAGAGAGAGAGAGAGAGAGAGAGAGAGAGAGATGTGATGATTTTGAGGTAGCACATACACAACGCTAGAAAGACTCAAGAATCTGGAGTAGAGATCGGAACGTTCAGATACGAGAGGCACACCGCCCTAAAGGATGTCTTGTCAACCAACATACGGCTGTATTATTAACCATGGATCAAAAAAAAAAAAAAAAAAAAGCGGGAGAAAGGGGGAGTGTGTGAAAAAAGGTGTGGGTGGAAAAAGGAAAGAGGGGGGGGGGGGTGTGTGTGGTAGTTGAAACATCCGATAACGTACTAGCGTGTCTAGAGTACCCTGGAGATAACCCACGTGAATCTACTTCATAACTGAAAACAGTATAACCCTTTCTGAGCAATAACCAGTTGGTATTATTCCCCACACAAATCGTCAAGTTATCTCTTTGCTGGAATCATTATTTTATGTTCGTTCATCCAGAACAGTTTTTTTTATCAGCATTGACGTCACTGTTGACCTTGCCAAGTTTCCTTAGTGTTGCATCTTCAGCTGTTGCTGTCTATTGTGAGCCAACAATCCAGTAGCATTTGTTTTCTTTTGGGTTTCTTATTTTTAGTAATCATCCCCTGCAGTGTTTTGTTTTTTTCCAAGACTTCGTTATTTTTATTATTTCTTCAAAATATGAATATTTTTTTTTTCTTCTCTTCATCCTGTTTTCCCTTCTTTATCTACTCCTTCTACTGTTTTTCCTCCAACCTTCTTAACGCTAGTTCTAGTAGCTTTTCGCTGGCTACATGCAGTAACAGAGAGTCTGTACTTTATTTTTTTAGCAAGTCTAGTAAAACCACTCAGCTGTGACTAACGCCTTTCTACCTGCTACCAGCAAAGCAGAGCTGGCCATCACCAACCACTGTCTGGAAAAAACACAGTTTATCAGCAACACCGGTTATCAGCACCACTGAATAGCAAAACAGTTTATCAGCAGCAGAATTTATTAGCAACACGGTTTATCACCGATTATCAGCAGCACAGTTTTTCAGCAGCACAGTTTATTAACAGCACAGTTTTTCAGCAGCATAGATTATCAGCAGCCCAGTTTATCAGCAGCCCAGTTTTTCAGCAGCACAGTTTATCAGCAGCACAGTTTATCAGCAGCCCAGTTTATTAGCAGCACAGTTTTTCAGCAGCATAGATTATCAGCAGCCCAGTTTATCAGCAGCACAGTTTTTCAGCAGCATAGATTATCAGTAACACAGTTTATCGGAGTTGGCGTGCAAAAAGACGACGATGCTATGTGTTGTGTATCCACTACCCTAAACTTCTTGATGGTCTCTTATTGATTGAAATTCCTTGTAGTTAACACGAACGTTTTCTTCTTCGGCATACCGCTCAGTCCCCATCTTCAGCAGCAATCGAAGAGTTCCAGTTTCGATGGAACCAGTAACCGTCTGATTGTATATCCGTCTCATCCTTCCCCTGAGTGTTGAGCGTCGGCCAGATCCCCTTGTAACATCAATTCACCACCGAATGGTGCAGAGCCAGCCAGTCTGTCCGCCTGCTCATTTCCCAACACACCGGCGTGACCTGGAGAAAATGTCTAAAGGATGCTAACTATCCGGGACCTCTGAAGTGATACTTGCCACTGTCCACGAAGCATCCCTGTCTCCACATTTCTCAACATGCTTTGCGAGTCAGTTACAATCACTGCATGTGTATACAGCGGATTCTCAAGCCAGTGGAAGGCAGCAGAGACTGCCTACATCTCTATTCTCAAACAAGACATTGTGATATCATATGCAAGCTGTCTTGTGGTTCAGTGCTGCAGACACTACCTGACTCCATTCGCCTCTCACACTGGCCTTCTCCTTCCCCCTGATGACTTCGTCTGTAGGTCTACATAGGTGTATAAGTTTTTCACAAACTTCTTCTTCTTGTCTTCCACAGTCTACCTCAGCGAGGTGTTGTGGGAGAAGTAAGGGGATTTTTGTGCGCGCTTTTTCAATGCATTGCGAAACTTTGTTTTCATTTCTGTTAGGTTGCTCCTGATGGTGTCGCTCAATATCTTGCGTGGTCTTCCCCTTGCTGTGTATTCATTATATTTGTTCATCGTGGCTCTCTGTGGCAGCTGGTACCAAGGCATTCTCGTTAGGTGGCCAAAACATCTCATTTGTTGTTCTTTAATGAATTGTATGACTGGCTTCAGTCATAGTTTTCTTCTAATTTCTTTATTCTTGATTTTATTTCTTCTTGTCACACCGGCAGCTCTCCTAAAACGTCTCATCTCTGTAGTTACGATCTTCTCATTAGTTATAGTAACAACATTCTTGGTCTGCCATAATTATCTCCACCCAGTCCCAACGTCAGATTACGTCGTAACCACTGGGGATCAGTAAAACCTTATGGGTGCAAAAAAAAAGGAAAAGGGGGGGGGGGGAGGGATATTAGTGGGTTTTGTACGTGAAGTCATTGTGTGGGTTCCGGGGTCCCATTGTGGGGGGAAAAACAAGAATAGACCCACTGCCTCCCCACAAAAGCATGTCGTAGGAGCCGACTAATTGAGGGCATCCTTTGAAATCAGAGTACAAGTGTCTGAGTGACAAGGAACTAAGAGTCAGTATACAGAGACGGGTTTTGCAACGAGACTAGAGTCTGGAGATGTATGAACTAGGGCTGTACCGAATAGTGATTTTCACTATTCGGCCGAATACGCATAGCTGAACCAACTATTCCACCGAATACGAATAGTGAATCATCATCATCAGGTGCTTTGCCGACCGGCATGGGTGATTATGCCTTGCCACAATCTGCGTTCTCCTGCAGCATGTATTAGTTCGTGTGCTGGCACACCTCCACGCCGTGCAACAAGACTGTCAAGAATCTTCTCTCGTTGTCTTCCTCTATCCCTCCTTCCACAGATCTTTCCAGTGGTCATTACATGTTCCATTTTCCCTCATCTTATAACATGGCCGAAAAATGATGACTGTCTCCTTCTGATGTCTGTGAGTAGTTGTCTTCGGGCTCCCGACTCTTTCAATACCTCTTGGTTGCTTTTTTTATTTTTCAGCTGTCTAATGTATTTTAAGCATTGTTCTGTAAAACCACATCTCCGAGGCCTCAAGAAATTCACAGCCATATGTTAAAACTGGATGTATGTAGCAAGCAAAAAAGCATTAGCTTTCAAAAAAAAAAAAAAAAAAAAAAAACCACAATAGTTCCATGTTGTCAGCATTAAGGCAGCTTCTTGTCTCACTGAAGGTATTTCAAGCTGTGCCGCAATAAAGGCAGGCCATACATATGGCCAAATGTCTGAACACGGTTTCTGGGACCTCTCCACGGCGATCCTCATCTGCATGGTGGCACTCTGTGTCATCGGGTGTTTATCGCTTGTGTGATGTCCTGGTGGGGTAGAAAGTCAGTCAGTCAGACGTTCACTTGGTACGCTCGTAGGTGGTGCACAAAGTAACGCTTGACAGTATGAAC